TCGTATTACCTGGATGTCTAACCTTCATCGACGTTGACAAAAATATCACACAAACGTACAGACAGTGCTTCACTTCACTCATCAGATTATTTCAGCTCTATGTGTATCCTAAAGTCCTCTTTACATTGCATGGAGACCGTTGGACCACTAATTTGGATTTTATATGATTTCATTATTGAATAGATGCTCTTCGTCAAAATAACTCCGTACAGCGGATATGTAGTCCGGATGCCCCGCGGTTGTTTTTTTCACCCGACAGTTTCAACTGCTGCCGGCGTCAGGAATAACGTCATACATCTATTGTAGCCATAGTAACAATATAGTAAAGAAATCCTATACATGTGTAGGTGGGTTCTTGTGTACGTCTTTTTACTTCAATAGCAGCTGTACTATAGTCTGCTTTCACCGGCCATGGAGGAGACTGTTGCTTGACTAAAATTGGATTTGTATGACGTATGCCTTTAGGAACACGATCCAAGACGAAATAATATGACTTGAAAGAACAAAAACACGAAAAGCTTTCAAAATACATTTACTTGTCAATGAAATGGTACTTTTGAGACTTTTGGTCGCTCACAAGAGTTAGCACTCTTATTCTGGACGCACTGCCAGACACCGTAACCAGTAGGTTTTTTCACTAAATCTGCCTCCAGCACAAGCTGAAACAGTCAATCAACTTCCAACACACGTCCAATATTACATGCAACTGGACGATTTCAGATGAAAGATGTTATGTATTATTTTGATGTAGTGTTACACTAAAAGCATTATAAAATGGACACTATATCCAAGCCCCTAGCCAGGATTTTGAATGGGGGGGGGGGTGCTTCCCACTGCTTGAGGGACCATGCTAGGTTCCTAGGGGGGTCTGGGGGCATGTTCCCCCGGAAATTTTTTTAAAACCCTCTGAAGTGGCATTTCCTGCGTTTTTGATTGAGAGGATTTCAAATAAATATTCAGAGATAACATTTTATTCAATGACAAAGTGATCAGTTTTCGTACGATTCCAGCCTCGCTGGTGATACGATTCAGTCCATCTTTTAAAGATAAATCTTGGACTTAAGATTAAAAGTGGAGCAAAAAGTGAACCTTTGAGCCTGTAAGGGGGTTTTACCTCCCTAGGAAGACAAATTGTGAATCCTCTAGTTGGTATGGACATACTCGGCACACAATGGACATGACTACGTTCTTCCTACACGCCATTAAAACTACCTTGTGTTGGAATAAATGTGACGACTTGTGTGTATCGACAGTTTCACGACACATCGTTCCTCTTCTGCATGTTCTTAGGAAAAATGCAAACTACGTGTCGAATCTGGGCCTGCGGGGCGGTTCATCACTCAGGCATGGCTGCCATTATCGGTATTAAAAGATAATTCTGCCCGGGTTCCCGAAGAGTGGTGTTCACTGGGACACATGTACAATGAATATGCGCACATATGTCATCCATCTATGAAATAAGAAGATATGAAAACGATACAAAAATTCAATTTTCCGTTCATTTCTATACAAATTAAGTTGAATTCCTCCTACTCCTTTTCATCAATATCTCAAACGAAGATCTTTTTCAATTAAAATATTTCAATTTTTGGTACAAAAATGACACAAAATGATCCATTTAGGCTGGTTTTACGCAAACGGATAATTTCTTTTTTCCCGATACAGCATCGCTCCTGCTCTAGATAGATATCATCCTGCCGTCTAAATGCGAAGGAAGAAAAATGCTGATTGAGTTCCCATCGCATGCACGGCGTGTCAAAGTAGTCTCAGGCCCATGTTTGAACCTCATATATATATTAGGCCACAGCAAGTACTTTTTATGGATGACATCTACGCGTACATTAATTTTCGCCTGATTTTGAAAAAAAATTTTGTTGCCTTTTGACAGTGGTAAACATGCCGAAAATGGGAAAAAAATGTCTGTTGCCATGCCGGAAGGTGGATGGCAGATAACTATAAAGACAGGAGACAAGAAAAGGCTCTGATTTGTTGTGTATATGTGATGTTCCCACTGAATCAAAACCATTTGTACAATGATTGAGTCAAAATTTTAAAATGTAGGAACTTTGTTTTTTTCGGCCCGCCTTGTTTGTTTTCGCCCGCTCGCATTAGATTTGGAATCAGCGGAGGATGTCATCCATAAAATTTACTTGCTGTGGCCTTAGGTGATTCAAACAGGGGCCTGAAACTACTCTGCATGTACTTTGATCTCATACATAGGTGATAATTGAGGTCCCTGGAACATCATTTTCTCAATCCGGTACAGGAAGGGTACAACAGAACGTGCAGGTATCGCGCTGTCCACTCTAATCTACCTCACATCACGTCACCATATTTTCTCGTACTCAGTCACGAGGTGCACTATCTCGGCAGTTAATGTGAAATGGGTCCTGAGCCGGAGTGCCACTGTGATATACTGTGTATAATGTACGACTGTGGGCTCCATCGTAACACGTTAAGCCAGATAAGTGACGGCCAGGCGCACATTCCCGCTATCGTCTGCAAAAAGGATTTCTACTCCTGATTTATAGTGACTCCAATGTCACCGCATCGGTATGTGCTTTTCACTGCATTCCACTGGCTTCATTTGAACGTTAACGCTCTTTTTCTCTGCATGTGTCTCCAAAACTTTATATCAAGAGCAAATTTTATACAAATTTCATTTTCGTGCAGGCGACGCCCTTTTGAACACAAGCAGGTGAGTGACTTTCAATGCGACAATCGGGCTACGTGTCTCTGTGCGTCTACATCAGGACTCTCCCTGTGCAGCCTACATACACAGAGAACCGCTTCTTTCTGCTTGAAATACGAGAGGAAGACTTGATTATATAGCACATCACATATCTAGTTCGGACAATATTTTCAGGTCAGAAAACACGATAATTGGAAAATTTGTGATAATTCTTTATTTCATGGTTATCGTATATACTAGTAGCACTAGTGAAATGCGATAGACGGGCGCTCGTCATTTTAATACTAGTAGAAAAATGAATTCAATCTTTTTCTTCCTATTGAACTGATACTGCAACCCTCTGACTAATTTTTGTATAGAAGGAAGATCGCATTCTCTTACTAGTGAAATGATGAGATAGCACCCCTCTATCTCATGTTTTACTAGAAATCTGTGCCAAATATTTGGACCGTTTCCTCTCAGATTTATTATTTTTTTAATTTCAGGACGATTTACCACATTTGTGGAAGGATTGACATAACAGGTGACTATCACCTCTTCAAGATGTCAAACCTGAGACCAGCCTGTAAGGTTTGAACCACTCACACCAGGAAGTCCCCTACTCTTTTTGGTAAATGCAGTGGGTTCTTTAACGTGCGTGGGGTGTGGCTCTCCCAAACACGGGACCTCCATTTAACGTCCTATCCGAGGGACGTCCCTAACCGAAGCTAGGTACTCAATTACACCTGAGTGAAGTGAGGAAAGTCGTGTTAAGTGCCTTTCCCAAGGGCACAAGATCGGTGGCATGGGCAGGATTCGAACCCTTGCCCTCTCGAGTCTGGGCCGCTACCGCTACGCCACACGACCCCACTGTCATTCCCATTGTATTTCCATGGAATAAAGTCACAAAATAACCTGTTTTCCGTCTGTGTTTCCGTATCCAACATTTCTCTTAACAGACCAGTGCGCGTATTTTATTCTATTTTTGTTCTGTGATTGACTAATAACTGACGCACGTTCGTTACATAAATGTCTTCAGGTCGTTTCCCTTCGGTGAGAAGAAAGGGACTGAAGCTTCTCTTGATCTAATTATGTCCCAAATCAACCGCGTCGTCGCATGGTACGCCCGGGGCTTGTTTGTGTTTTGTTTGATCCTCTCCCCCCGCACTCCCACTGCTGCAGGGTCCCCGCCATCAAAGCCGACCTGCTAGCTACAAACGTCAGGAGCAGCTGCAGTAGCAGGCATACAGCGGATGTTCATATCAGGCAATCAGCATGAGTTTAATACAGGCCGCGTGACTTCAAACAGTTAACTTTTTTTTATTCCAACATTCTATGGACAAACATGGCGACGGCACACAAGTTATATCAACTTATTTTATGCCACTAACTTATTTTATGCCACCAACACAGAGTACAAATACAGGACAGGACAATTTTCACTTGAGTTAAGTGAGGAAAGTCGTGTGAAGTGCCTTTCCCAAGGGCACAAGGTCGGAGGCATGTCAGGACTCGAACCCAGGACCTCTTGGTTCCGAGTCGAGCACTTTGCCGCTACACCACACGACCACACTATGACTATGACACGACCAAACAGTTGACTTTGGATTTGGTTTTGGAGTCCCAACCTCTCTTTTTTCTTTCTTGACGTAAACTAAACTTTTAAATGAAATAGAAATTTTTGCCAAATGCATGTGCCGATGAATGCGAAGACGTGGGAGTTTGTGGCTAAATTGTTGTCTTCGGTATTAGGACGAGTTGACCAGGGTGTTGGGAAGAGTTGACCAGGGTGTTGGGAAGAGTTGACCAGGGTGTTGGGCCGAGTTGACCAGGGTGTTGGGAAGAGTTGACCAGGGTGTTGGGAAGAGTTGACCAGGGTGTTGGGAAGAGTTGACCAGGGTGTTGGGAAGAGTTGACCAGGGTGTTGGGACGAGTTGACCAGAGGACTCTGCTAATGATACTCTTCAAGCAGAGGTTTGGGTTTGGGGTTATTTTTATCTTGTTTTTAGGCTTTTTTGATTGGGGCTTCTCTTTTGCACTGGAATTTTTTTCACACACCCCCCTCCCACCCCCCAAAAAAAAATTCCGGTGCAAAAGAGAAACCTCTATTAAAAAAGCCTAAAAACACGCCAAAAATAACTCCAAACACAAACCTCTGCTTGGAAAGTATGCTAATGATGCGAGAGGGATCGGGAGGGGCATGGAACTGATTTTATTATTAGATTTATTGTCATTTCCAATCACAATTACCATAATTTCTTTTTTCTTTCAGAATTGTACATCAAACCTCTTGCCCGCAATATCTGAAGAAGTGAACGTACGGTGTAACATGGGACTACAAAACCATCTTGCTAAAGACATTGAAGAATCACTTGGGCAGAACAGAACAATGTTCTCTGTAGACACGAACGTTACCGCGCCGCTGGAGTTTGATGCCGCCATGAGAGAGAAGTACGAGCGGTTACTGCTGGACAGCATACGGAGTGAGCTTCTGTACACGTACTCCACGCCGCTCAGCGCGTGTCTGATCGTCCTCTACACCATCTGTTTCCTGGTGGGCCTGGCGGGAAACCTGTTAGTGATGTCAGTAGTACTCCGCTCCAGGCGCATGCACACCCTCACTAACAAGTTTCTGGGTAACCTGGCCGTGTGCGACCTCATGGTCCTCTGTTTCTGCGTCCCTTCCAACATCGCCCTGGAGGCCTACCGTAACTACATGTTCGGGGACGTCCTCTGCCGCACCCTGCCCTACATCCAGGGCATCTCGGTATCCGGCAGCATCTTGTCTCTAACCGTCATCAGCCTGGACCGGTTCCACAGCCTGTCCCACCAGGGCAAACCTCCCAGGTCGTTCCTGAAGCAGAACTCCATCGCTGTCCTGGTGCTGATATGGGTGGTCTCCATGGCCATCATGGCGCCGCTTCTGTTCGTGAATCACCTTGACCACGTCACGTTAGACTTCGGACTGAGCGAGAACTTGACTCTGACGATCTGTAAGGAAGACTGGCCCAGCGACGCGGGGAAGCAGCAGTACAGCGTGGCGCTGTTCGTCTTCCATCTCCTCATCCCCGCCGCCATCATGATCGTAGCGAACGCCCTGGTGGGGAAGAAACTGTGGCGCGCCGACGACGTGGACGAGGTGGAAAACAACGCCACACGATTGGAAGGTATCCGAATCTCCCATGCCGTCGTCACATCCGGCTTGAAGCGACAGCGAGGTGTGGTCAAGATGCTGGTGGCTCTGTTCAGCGTCTTCTTCGTGTTCTGGACCCCCTACTACGTCATCACTCTGTGGCTCGACTTCCGAAGTGGGAAGCACTGGGAGGACAACTCTGTTGCCGGGAACGTCTACCCGTTCTCCCTGTTCCTGGGCCTGGCCAACTCTGCCATCAATCCCATCTGCTACAGTCTCATGAACGCGCGCTTCCGCGAGGCCACGAAGGACGTCTTCAGTCGGAGGATGCCCTGGAGACCGCCTTCTTCTGAAACACCTGGACCTGAACAAGCGGCCAACACCAACGATACTGGACAGGATCCCACGGAGGTCTTCAGTCTGTAGGCGCTGCAGGTCGTCGAAGACGAAGGCCGCCACCGACTACCCTCCATATACACCCTCGTCCAGTCACGTGATCTGTGCTGACCTTTGAACCTCTTGGTCACATGACTACTCGTGACTACCGTGAAGATCAGGTGAAGAAAGATGGCGTCTGAAAGCTTCCATATTTATATTGTTAGTCATGTGTACCAGTTTAACTCTGGTATAAAGCAGGAAGATGTCGGTGAAGATTTGTGAACAAGAAGGATCGATCACAAAAAAGACATAAAGATGTTAATCCGATTGGCAATAACTTGTGTACATAATAACATGGAACGAATTGATTTCAAAGGGATACCTGCAACATCAAAAGAACAGATTGTAAGTTATGTATATATATCATAGTTTGTAACATGTCAACGCTCATATTGAGGGTTACATTTGCCTATGTTTATAGAAAGGTTTTAGAACATGAAGGATACATGTACATGATTCTAGAAAGGTTTTACAATCGTGCATAATTTTTCAATATACCAGTTTTAAAAAGGTGACCATGACAAGAAATAAGACCGCCAAGGATAAGGGACAGATGTGTTTACCTGTGTGTGGATGGTGTTCAGCACCAAGGACAGGTGTGTTTGCCTGTGTGTGGATGGTGTTCAGCACCAAGGACAGGTGTGTTTACCTGTGTGTGGATGGTGTTCAGCACCAAGGACAGGTGTGTTTGCCTGTGTGTGGATGGTGTTCAGCACCAAGGACAGGTGTGTTTGCCTGTGTGTGGATGGTGTTCAGCACCAAGGACATGTGTCCACCTGTGGGTGGATGGTGTTCAGCACCATGGACAGGTGTGTTTACCTGTATGTGGATTGTGTTCAGCACCAAGGACAGGTGTGTTTGCCTGTGTGTGGATGGTGTTCAGCACCAAGGACATGTGTCCACCTGTGTGTGGATGGTGTTCAGCACCATGGACAGGTGTGTATGCCCGTGTGTGAATGGTGTTCACCACCAGGTATAGGTGTGTTTACCTGTGTGCGGATGGTGTTCAGCACCATGGACGGGTGTGTTTGCCTGTTTGTTTGCTTGCCTGTGCGTGGATGGTGTTCAGCACCAGGGACAGGTGTGTTTACCCGTGTGTGGATGGTGTTCAGCATCAGGTATAGGTGTGTTTACCTGTGTGTGGATGGTGGTCAGTATCAGGGACAGGTGTGTTTACCAGTGTGTGGATGGTGTTCAGCACCAGGGACATGTGTGTTTGCCTGTGTGTGGATGGTGTTCAGCACCAAGGACACGTGCGTTTACCTGTGTGTGGATGGTGTTCAGCACCAAGGACCTGTGGGTGAGTGGTGTTCAGCACCAGAGATGGGTGTGTTTATCTGTTTGTGTAGATTGTGTTCAGCACAAAGGATAGATATGTTTAGCTGTTTATGTGTGTATGATGTTCAGTACCGGTGCAGAACTTTGAACCTGTGTTTGTATGGTGTCCAGAGACAGGTGTGGTTACCTGTGTGTGGATGGTGTTAAGGGACAGGTGTGGTTACCTGTGTGTGGATGGTGTTCAGGGACAGGTGTGGTTACCTGTGTGTGGATGGTGCTCAGCACCAGGGACAGGTGTGTTTGCCTGTGTGTGGATAGTTTTCAGCACCAGGGACAGGTGTAGTTACCTGTGTGTGGATGGTGTTCAGGGACAGGTGTTTACCTATGTGTTTGGATTACATTCAGCACCAGCAACATTTGTGTTAAACTGTTTGTGGATGTTATTTAGTACGATTAACAGATGTGTTAACCTGTGTATGGATGGTATTCAGTTATAGATGATTACCTATGTGTGATACCAGTGTGAGGATGGTGTTCAGTATAAGGGACATGTTTTACCTGTGTGTTGATGGTGTTCAGCACCAATGACTGATATATTTTCCTGTGTGTGTATGGTGTTCATCACCAGAGACGCGTGTTTACTTGTGTGGATGGTGTTTAGCACCATGGACGGATGTGTCTATTGTGTTTGGTTGGTGTTTAACACCAGAGGTAGGTATTGCCTGTTAGTGCACAGTGTTCTGTCTTGGTGCATATACATTTCCATTGTATTCAGAATTGATTGAAGTACTAGTAATACGTAATACTAAGTACTTTAGTTGTTAAAGTGCTTCAGAAGGCTATTTGGTGTAATATTTGCCAACAATGAACGCAAATGACGGACGTCAACAGAAGAAAGTGACAAGGATTGATATGCATTTCGTTGGTAGAGACACCATCTTGTATTCAATGTGTCAGAGGTTGGATCAGAGTTATAAAAGTTATGAGTAACTGAAGTTTCTAAACTATTACAATATAAACCATTATCATCAAGGCATTAAGTTGTTAAAGTTGACCAGTCATTTTCTTAAACCTCCTCACATCAGATATAGACTGAAAGTAGTATGGTAGTGTGGAAGTGTGTCTGAGAACTTTGGGGACACTTTAGAAATACATTAGAGTTAGAGTTATGTATGGTTATTGAAATTTTAGTGCAAGTCAATAATTCATGCACATTTTGCTATTATGAAAGTTCATCTGTGTTGGTAGTTATATATTAAAAGTTAAGACTCAACCGCGACGGGGGCGACATAGTCTACAGGATGCCTTTGACCCAGTGTTGACGTCACACTTCAAAGAAGCCACGTGACAATCCTCACTGGGTCAGCTCAGTCTACTGAAGAAGACCAGAGTGACTGGTCGAAAGCTCTAGGTGAGAGAACTTCTTTGTGTTGGATGAAAAGTTTTAACTTAAATCATTTTTATGACGTAACCATAACGTGAGTTATTGCATTCCACAACCTTACAGGTCTGTAGGAGAACATCTTCTATTCCTTGTTGTTCTTAGGTTTAGACAATGAATAGACATGCACGATTTGCCTAGTAGAATATCTGTGTGATGCGTGAACTAGTACACGATATTTGTAGATCTCCTGTGGTTAATCTGTGATTACAATATTGATAAATAGCTTTAGAGTACTGACGTTTAATCAATTTCTCACCAACAACCAACCAATATTAGATATGCTAACCTGTGTAAAGATAGTTTTCAGCACCAGGGACAGGTGTGTTTACCTGTGTAAGGATAGTTTTCAGCACCAGGGACAGGTGTGTTTACTTGTGTGTGAATGGTGTTCAGCACCAGGGACAGGTGTGTTTACCTGTGTGTGAATGGTGTTCAGAACCAGGGACAAGTGTGTTTACCTGTGTGTGGATGGTGTTTAGCACCAGGGACAAGTGTGTTTACCTGTGTGGATGGCGTTCAGCACCAGGGACAGCTGTGTGTACCTGTGTGTGAATGGTGTTCAGCACCAAGTGTGTGTGTGTGTGTATATGTGTGTGTGTGTGTGTGTGTGTGTGTGTGTGTGTGTGTGTGTGTGTGTGTGAATGCTGTTCAGCACCAGGGACAGGTATGTGTATGAGTGAATGGCGTTCAGCATCCGGGACTGTATTTAGGTGTATTTCCTCAGTAGAAAACTATCATAATCACATATCCAACGTGAATCTGTTGTACTTTTTCACAGTACACATTTTACTATACCATCTTGTTGCCGTTAGTTCAAAATTCCTTGTTCCTTCAGATAAGTAGGTGAGAAAACAAGATTTTACGAATTAACTTCGAGTAAACGTAGGATGTTCGTTTTCATTTACGAATATTTTCAATTCTTTGTTATAATTTGTCAAATAGAGCCCATATAGTGTAGGAACCTTGTGAACAACGCATTTTGAACCTTTGTAACATTTTCCCAGTTTTGTAAAAAAGAAAAAGAGAGAGAGATCCATGATGAGGAATATGATATTTTCTATAGTTACTGAATAATGGTAACAGCATACTCCCTGTATTTTCCATTATTTGCAACATTTTGTACATCTTTCTAATTGGGTCAATGGCTTAAAGTACGCGGTATTATGTATTGGGGCCAGGTATAAGTTGTTTATCACAAAAGAGCCATTATAGTCCAGCAGTGAAATAAAAAATAGACAATTTAGATTGAAAAAGATTAGATTGACCCGTTATTATTGACCAATAATCCGAATCAACTATTTTGAAACTGTTTTGAATATTTGAACATATTGCTGTTAGTGAAAGGAATCACACATATTTGTAAATTATTCTATATATCTAGATATTACTAAAGAGATTGTTATAGTCACTTTTAGAATGCTGTATATGTAAATAAATTCAAATGTATTCAAATGTTGATTCTCATTTTTTAGATATTCCTCTATTCCAAATAGTTCGAAACTATTACGAAATAATTATATAAAATTCCAATGAATTCTATATTTAGCACTGCAGTCTCCAAGAATAAAGGTGGAGATACTCCCTGGGAAATTGGAGACCCTAGGAACAGTGGGTTGTTATCCACGGTGTTTAGAGCATAGTATTAGAGCTCAACCCTTACCTCCCCCTGTCTCTTACCTCCCCAACAGAAGGCGAAACAGACATTGGGAGTGATCAAATTTACGTAATCTGTGGGCATGTCCAAGTAAAATCACTTGCATACACGTCACTTGTAAGACCGAATCTAGAATATGCCGCGACAGTATGGGATCCATATACAAAGAAAGACAAAGACAAATTGGAAAGGGTACAGAATCAAGCTGCAAGATTCTGTATGAAAGAGGTGCTAGCGTCACGGAAATGAAAGAAACCTACAGTGGGTCTCACTGGAAGACAGAAGAAAAATGTCCAGACTATGCATGATGTACAAAATGACTAATAAACTGGTGGATGTCCCAACTACTAAGTACCTAATACCAGCCCAGAAGAGAACAAGAAATAGCCATGCCTTCAAGTACCAGAGTTATCAACCAAGGATTGAGGTGTTCAAGAATTCATTCTTTCCTAGAACTACTAGTATCACCAAGTACAGTAGGGGCATTATCATTAGATCGCTTTAATCATTGTCTAGAGTTAGATGTCCAAGGGTTAGGTGTAACAAGTCGATCGGTGTAATATAGCCAGCTGCCACCGCACCGCGTGCCTGCGAAGCTGGTGTGTTACGCCGAAAGGCTGTTATACCGGCAATACAGATACAGAGAAATCAGGTACCCATTTTTACACCTGGGTGGAGTGAGGAAAGTCGTGCATAAGTTCCTTTCCCAAGGGCACAAGATCGGTGACATGGCGGGATTCGAACCCAAGACCTCTGGTCTGGACCAAATACCAGTTACGCCACACGACCCCAAATGCTGTCTGAAATTCTGGACGAGTAATGAGAATTTCATTTCGTGTGATCCGTCACTGACTGGTTGATTTGAAAAAAAAATGGAATTCTATTCTAAAAGAATGAATAAAATAGAAATGACACAAGTGAATATCCAAAGTACTCCATACAGTACGAAAGCAGGTCGTTGAAACATACCTGTTCTTGGAGCCATCAACACCTGCATGGGCTAAGACCACACCGACTTAATTTTATGGATGGCATCCTCTGAAGACCCCCAAACTAGTGCGCGCGGGCGAATAAAAAAATTCCGGCCAAAAATAAAAATGCCACTAAACCACAGGAATACAAAGCTGGTATTGTGGATTTGCGGCAGTACTTAGCGACGTATACGACAAGCCAGCACGTTATGGCTTTTTGCGGAATTTACGAATCGGCACTGTACTTATATGAGTTCTTGAGTCGTGGAGCTTCGGTAACCTGGGTGTCCGGCTCCGTATGTCGCTAACTACCATGAACTACCCAGGCCTAGGGCCAGGCCAGAGCCTCGGTGGACGTGATTTTTTTTAGGACAGGCGAAAATCAATGCGCGCGCGGATGTCATCCATAAAATTAAGGCGGTGTGGCCTTAGCAAAAATCAAAACCATGGTGTAAATATAGAAGGTTGTCAGATATACAAGAACTCACAGGCATCGAACCAGACAAGACATTAGCCCCTTAGTTGTCCATTTATTTACTAAAATAGTGCCAGCGTTGGTATTTTAATATTTTAATTTAAAAATACCTCAATACAATCTAAACATTTTTTCAAGATACCAATGTCCGTTTATTATTATTGTCTTATAAATAGCACCTGCGTTGGTAATAAATACATCACCACATCACCATAATTACATCGTAATTCTTATTTTCAACATACGTATTGCTAACAGTGTTACTCAACGATAAATATAAAACATACACCTGTGGTATAATAACTGACAAGTAAGAACCAGGGTAGGTTTAGGAATATTCCCGCTTTTCAAAACAGACCACAGAATATTGTTCTTTTGACGCCACTGGGCGCTCACGTTACCACCGGTATATGATGATACACTTGTATTAGGCCACAGCAAGTAAATTTTATGGATGACATCCTCCACAGACTCCAAATCTAATGCGAGCGGGCGAAAACAAACAAGGCGGGCCGAAAAAAAAACAAAGTTCCTACATTTTAAAATTTTGACTCAATCATTGGTGTTGATTCAGTGGGAACATCACATATATACAGCCAACGTCACATGTCACTGCATCAAAGTAAGAAACAAAACATTAAATCAGAGCCTTTTCTTGTCTCCTCTCTTTATAGTTATCTGCCATACACCTTCCGGCATGGCAACAGACATCTTTCCCCATTTTCGGCATGGTGACCACTGTCAAAAGGCAACAAATTTCTTGTTCTTTTTTTTTTCAAAATCAGGCGAAAATTAATGCGCGCGCTGATGTCATCCATAAAAATTACTTGCTGTGGCCTAATCACAAATCGTTAACCACCTCCTCGCACAATACATATATATATAGCTTGGAATGAATATGCACACGACAAATATGTCAGGACACTTCAGCAACCATTACATTTGAAGAGTGTGGAACGTGGATGCTGTTATTTATGGCATTTCAATTCTATTTTCAGACGACGCTTCTAATTTGACATCATCATCATCATGTCGGGAGTTGTAGATAGAAAAATCAAGATTCTTACGTTCCTATGAGGTATTACAGTGGAACGGTAACCTTAAAGGCACCCAATGTACAATGTAGCAAAACTGCATTTTCAATGTCAATTTTCTGGTCATTCTTTTTAGTGTATTTGCATCAATCCTATCCCATAGCATATTGATATTGTCTGTGAGGCAAAATACGATGTGGCTGAAAAATGGTTGCTTGTTTTGTATCGTAGGCTGGTTCTAGCTATTCATGAGTAGTGCCCATAAGATAAAGAGACGTAGTTTGTTACTGGGCTGTTTCAGATGCTTCAAGTATAAATAAATAATGACGAAAAAGTGCTGACAATGGGAGTAAATCTCAATATTAGACAGATTCTCCTCATCTAGAATATTTATGTTTACCGAAGGAAAACATATTGTTTTTGCTACGTTTCTTCTTCCGTTCCAAACACTGACCTCCGACCTGGCCAAGCACCTGATTTGTTGACGTCCCTCACCATGGTAACTGGTGTTGGGTTACATAATGTTGCAATTTTATAGTAGGAGGGATTATTTTGTTTTGTTTTGCCACCCTGAAATTGTACAGCGTGACTTCATCTCCATTACTGGTAATTGAACACAAATCCGCAGCATCTCCCCGTGTCAGACACCACGACCCTGCCGTCTGCCGTGCGCGCGATGCCGTACGGTTTGTCCAGCCCGCCCGCCCGCACCCCGACGTGCCCGACAAAGCGTCCCCGCTCGTTAAACACGGACACTCGCGAGTTGCCAGAGTCGGCTACAATAACATAACCTTCCCTGTCCACACACAGACATTTGGGACTCTTCAGGTTGGACTCCTTTTTCCCGACTGATCCGAACTGCACACGGAGATTGCCGAGGCTGTCGAACACCCTGACGGAGTGGTCGAAGCCCGAGGCCACCAGGATGTCTCCGTTCTGCGGGTTGCTGCCGAGGTAGAAATCCCCTCGGGTCAGGTTCTTCTTGCTTCCGAAGGACGTTCGGCGCTTGACTTTGTTCTCTGGGTGGACCTGAGGGATTGGGAAGATTTAAGATGAGATGAGATGAACTGGTTTATTACATATTGAATACATAACACACGAAAAAGCACAGCATCGTATCCCTGAAGCTAAATTGCAGTGTATTATACATGTACATGCTAAAACTACGTATACCTTCGACTGCTAATGAAAAGTTTATTGCAAATTTGTGAACAAAACAACAACATCAACATCTTTATTTGTTAATTCATAGTTCTTTTTTGTAAATAACTGTTGCTGCAGATGTCGTTAGTCACTAACGAAAAGTAGTGAATACTACATTTTGTACTTGACATGTCTGACAGTTTCCAAAATCTACCTGAGACAATTGACAGTTACACCAAACTTCTTTTGCAGGCTGAATATATCGTAGAAATCGACCTAAAAATTGACCGACTTGCAGGCCAATTTGATCGTCGATGGCCGGCTACCTTCTCTGGCCAATTAATAACCTTTTTAGGCCGATTTCTACGATTTATTCAGCCTGCAAAAGAAGTCTGGTAGAGACTAGTTGCAAGAAACAATTGCTAACTTGTTATTCGCTTGAGTTACAATTTTTCTTGTACCTGGATGTCTAACCTTCATTGACGTCTGAACGTACCATGAAGCGTCTCTGTTCCTCCCCGCGACTGTTGATGACACACACCAGCCCTGCGTTGTCGATAATCGCGATCTCATCGTCAGGAAGAGACGTGGCGTCACGGAGACTTTTAAACTTCCCGCCACTGGGACTGAAGACGTTCTCTTGGATGGGATCACCTTCTTCACTGTACCTGTACACAATAGAACAACATAACACTACACTGTACCTGTACACAATCAAACAACACAACACTACACTGTACCTGTACACAATCAAACAACACTACACTACACTGTACCTGTACACAATCAAACAACATAATACTACACTGTACCTGTACACAATCAAACAACACAACACTACACTGTACCTGTACACAATCAAACAACACAACACTACACTGTACCTGTACACAATCAAACAACATAATACTACACTGTACCTGTACACAATCAAACAACACAACACTACACTGTACCTGTACACAATCAAACAACATAACACTACACTGTACCTGTACACAATCAAACAACACAACACTACACTGTACCTGTACACAATCAAACAACACAACACTACACTGTACCTGTACACACTCAAACATCCTACACTGTTTTTGAATTACAAGTGATGTAAAGCATGGGATCTGGTTGACTCCATGTATAAAGAAAGTTGTCACTTTTTGGCGACGCCTCAGGTGCGAGCCTAATGATATGTACTCTGAGCAGTAGGTAAGAACCCTGGACCCACACAGAACCCACTTTGAACACATTTTACAGTTTACTCAACAAATAACCACCGTCGCCAGGGCTCTGGAGTATATTCCTTAGAATTTGTCTTTTTTTCTTGTAACAAACTGTACAAATTTTAGGAAAATACCAGGAGACTAGACATCTAAAAAGTGCCAATGAAACATGTGCCCAAAAGGGCAAGTAGTACCTTTGTATGATGACGCCCCCTTCGTCGTTGTCCATAATGCAGAATGTCCTGTCCTTGTTCAACACAAACGAGACGGGGTAGATGTCTCTCGTGCCGAACGTTTTCAGCAGCGCGCCCTGTGAGTCGAACTTGTGGAGGCGGCCGCTGATACTTTTTCTCTTACGATCCAGGACGAAGATGTCGCCTGTTTCCGACACCCTGACACGGACTGGATCCGTGAACTCCCCCAGCTGGTCCCCGGGGCTGCCGAACTGGAGCGCCGGCGGGCTGGGCACCACTTGCCGCTCCGGTGGGGGAGGGGGGAGATGCGGGGGAGGGGAATGTTGTTGTTGTTGTTGTTGTTGTTGTTGTTGTTGTTGTTGTTGTTGTTGTTGTTGTTGTTGTTGTTGTTGTGAAAGAGGCGGGTGTTGTGGGGGAGGAGCACTGTTTACAACATCCGCGTTGAACGGCTCGGCTGTACCATTCATGTAAGTTGGAGGAGCCCCTTCCATTGGTCCCGGCGGTCTGTTGAAAGACCCGGGAGCGACTCCCTGGTGGACTTCGTCTGACGACTTTGGCTCTGACATCATGTCTGCTAGAGCAGCATCCAGCATTCTCTGTTTATTCATGTCAGGCGACTGACGCGGACTCGGCGGTTCATCGCTGTACGACACAGGAGGGATGTCCCCGGCAAAGGGCCCTCTCACCGGCACAGACCCAGGGCCTTGTGATCTGCCTGTCTGACGAGCGAGCAGCTTCCCCAGCTCGACAGGGCGGTTAGACGGCCGGAACTCGAAGTGATTGACGGTCTGGCAGACGGGAATGACCGGCTTCCTGGACAGTTCGGCCAGCAGCTTCCTGCACCGCAGCATCTCCAGGACGTCTCCCCGGTCCCCGGCTCTCTTCGCTCCTTCGAAGGCGTTGACAGTGGTGGACACCTGGTAACGTTACGTTTGGAACAGGAGGTAAAAATCGTGCAAAACACTCCTGAATGTATATAAGGCCACAACAATAATTTAATGGATTGCGTCTGCACACGCATTGATTTTGCCTTTTCCCAAAGAAAATTCCCCTTCTTGTAACTATAACCAAAAAGTCACGACACTGGGATAACCGATAACGTTAAGTGAAGATGTGATTGAGGGAAGGAAACAGAACAGGGCGACAACTGCTGTTTCAATGGTTTATTGCTGATTTCACGACGACTAACAAAATTGTTGGTTGTTGAACTGTGTTCTTTCATTCAATGTGTGTCCTAACATTTGTCGTCCCTTGGTGTATTTCAAATCTAGGCATCTTGTTGTTTTCAGCCCTTCTTCTCTTCTTCGCGCTCTCGCATTAGATTTAGGGTCTCCAGAGGACGTCATCTATAACAATTACTTTGTGTGGCCTTTTATATATTCGAGAGGTACAATAAAGCACGGTACAATAGTTTTGGTGCAGTATTATGAGCCCAACTTGTACTACAAAGACCCCAGTAATACTATTGGAACACAACAAAGTTGTTTTTGGATTTTTTGGAACAGAAGCGTGTTCTGTTTGGGTCACCCGAGGTCATATGCGGGTGATTTTTTGGATTGTTTAATGTATGGATTGGGATCAATAAAGACCCGGTTTTGACTCTATTTGTGACATTACGGTGCCATAAGGAATGTGGAATGGAGCCTTCTGATTGGTCAACGTCACCCGGCTATATGATAATGAGCAGACCCTACCAGTATAAATCCAGATTAAGGGGCGGTACCTTGTGAAAGTCGCTGCTCATTGGTTGTTGCGCCCTCTCGTACTCTTCGTTCAGCTCCTGTAGAAGCTGCAGTTTCTGTCTCTGGACTTCTTCTGTGACTTTGCGGGCGTGTTCTTCGATATCAGTCTCGGCATCAGCCTTCTCGGCGGCCAGCTCCAGCTCCATTTGTCCCAGCACATCCAGACTGTCCTTCAACTCGTCCAAACGACCGGAATTCTGGTCTACGAGACCAGTGATCTGTAAACATGAACGACATGCCATGTTGTAGATGTCAATAATGTTTAGTATCATAATAGAACTTGTGCCCTTGGGAAAGGCACTTTACACGCCTTTCCTCACTCAACCCAGGTGTGAATGGCTACCTAACTTCGGTTGGGGAAAGCTGTATTGAGGTCACCTGGTGGCGCCGAATGGCAGCCGCACAGACCCTTACGACAGTTCCACAAAACTTTGTGGAACAAATATGTGTATTATTTGATTGTTGTGTATTATTATCATAATTTTGATTGTTGTGATTTGTATTGATTATTATGTGATACCCTGCATCAATTCAGCCGTATAAAGGCTGCGACTGCACGGGTACTGTTTGGACAATAAAAAAAACATTAGAAGGGGAACTCTACAGTAAAACTTGCCTACGACGACCACTCAAGGGACCGAGGAAAAATGGTCTTCTTAGACGAGTGGTCTTCTTATACAAAAAGCGTGGCGACAAGACAGAGAACAAAACTTTTCATTTATTTTACAACAGTCTGTTCCATTGACTTACAGGGACCCAGCCGGCACCGTTTTATATTGCGTTGCGCAAAGACAGTCCTGCTGTCGAAATCAATGGCAAACTGACCGATTCCATCAAGATTTCTCGCTAGCTATATAAAACATTTCATCAAACAAGACTGGCAATGAAAACATACATTGCCATGGCGACGGTTGTTGCTGTTAGGGTTATTGTTTGCATGGCACTGCCATCATTTCATCATTTTGATGAAGACTTTGGTGTAAGTCTAGACAGATACAGCGCACTCCTCCCCTGAGTGTATAGTGAACGAGCCCCGGAGTCACAGAAAGTAGGGCCATCCGGGGAAGAGAGGTCTTCCCAAGGGTTTCCAGGAATGTGGGCATAGATGTGGGTCAGAGACGTGCCTGTGGACATTCCATGCCTGTAGACAAAATGCCTGTATCATTCCTAGAATTCTTGCAAACTGCACACAATACTGTACCATTAGGCTCCTCCCTGAAACGTTGCCAAAAAACGTTTTCCGACACACGCGAAAACCACACGGTCGTCATATGCAAAGACTGGACAGGCGGTCGGCTCTTGCAAGTCGCTTAATGCTTACGTCTATGACGAAAAAGGAACGAGAAAAGGCGGGTGTTATGCATGGCCAGATTTAACTTATTCTCCTTGAAACTGAAAGATTTCAACAAACGCAACTGTAGTACTGTACATCTGTGTCAAAAGATTTGTGCAATTATCTTACATCTCTGACATTTATGGTTGCCGCTAAAACAGCCCAGACAAGGCGCACTCACAAAATACCAGAATGTAAACAAAATGACTGACATCTGTGTTTCCAGGCTTTAAACACACTCGTATGGTGTCATGTTTTGGAACCTCCTCATTTGCATTGGAGTATGATTCATTCAAATTTGTTAAGAAATGACCAGAAAATTGACTTTCTTATCGTCCTAACGTTACATAATGGCATTGAACATCAGAAAGTACTTTCCATTTATGTTTCCTTTATTGGGTTTATCCGTTATTCCTGTCACCAACTCCTCTTGATAATGAATAATGTCACCTTAAGACTATAATTGTAATATATATCTTAGGAGACGTTAGCCTTGACACTTGACTAGCCTTATTTTGTTCATACCTAAAACCAAGTCTAAGTCACGAAGCGTTCCACTGTGGAGCGCAAAAGATGACCTCTTTCAACTTTGCGTTCCTGTGAGCTGATGAGAAATGCTTCTTCGAAATACATTTCTTTTATTTGATAATTCTTCCCGAAGTTTGACTGCATGTACGGTAAAAAGGGAAAAATAGGTATACCATAGTGGCCATAATTATCTGCTGTTTTCTCAACTATAAGGTACTTCGTATATGTCATCCCCAAACCCGTTTCACTGTAGGTCAAACCGTGAGACTGTTCGGTCTATAGCATAACAACAGGGAATACTTCAACCGAACCCTTGTCGTAGATTCAAAATATAAATCAAGCCCAATTCCCCGATTACAGCGTAATGCTATGTTTAGAATTATGCATCAAATTTGTGTACTTGCAACGTGCTTAATAAAACTGAAGTTTGCGAGCAAATACCAGATTATGGTGGGAGTTGGAGCGGGAGAAATCTAATCTCCAAGCAGATCCCTTTCGGAGGCAAAAAAAAACAGTATCAATTTGGCCAGGCAGTATCCATTTAAGGCAGGGAAGGACAAGGACTTAGCGACAAAAAACGGCCATAGATGAAAAGCTAACGATCATTCCCCCACAACCTCTGCTTGGAGAGTACGTGAAATCGCTGGAGGGGGCGGGGTGGGGACACGAAATCGCTGGCCAGGTTGTCTTGGTGGACCAAATCGGTAGAAAATTCGCCCCGGGGATGGCGAAATGGGGAGGGGGTACTCCATAAAATACTGCTGCTAGCTGGCCAATGGTGTTATGATCTCATAATCAATGTAAAATGCGGGGTACTGATTGGTCAAACCCTATTGGCGACATGATATATTTTTAAGTTATTCCCACTGTATCCATGCATCCTGGTGCAATGCCACACCCACGAGCTTGATGTAAACATACTTAATCACACACTTCCTACGTCCTGTAGCCGCAGGGCAGTTTGCCTGTCCACAACAGTATATAGAGCTATCCTATATTTTACACTTTTTGTACCAAAGAGTCCGATTGGTTGAAGCCAGATACGCAAAAACACACAATTAAGCTACCCAAAATTTTTAAGCTATGCAAAGACACATTTTTAAGCCATGCAAAAATACACTTCTGGAGATATACAAAACACGCTTTTAAGCTACCCAAAACGGTCCAACTACTCATGATCAAGTTGTAGTTAACCAAAATTTGGAGAGGAAAAGCATGTGAACCATAGGAACAAGTCTCCTAATACATATACTAAAGGTTCTATCACAAGAGTGTCTTCAATCAATGTGTTGTGTTGTCCCTGTCACACATTCAGAACTTTCCCCCCCCCCCGAACAACAGCCGACCAAGGTTGGCTGACGTTCGGGAATAGCGTGACCAGATTTAGACAACGCCCACCTTTCCGTACGAATTGACGTGAATTTGAGTAAATTTGATTCAAATTTCACTTCCAATCACGCCCCGACCTACTTCCGAACACCAGCCAACCATGTCCGAACACCAACCGACCCATTCGACCTTGCTCCTGACCTACTCCTAACCATGTTGGAGGGAGTTCGGCCATATTCGGCTATGTGTGACAGGGACTTTACCTATCGTACGACGGTTATGAACGGACTCTGACCTGTTTCCTGATCTGCTGTTTGACGTCCTGCAGTCGGGCCACCTTGTGTTCGTTATGATCTCCCAGAAGACACTCCTCACAGATGGGCCGGTCACACCGCAGACAGAAGTACCTGAACACCTCGTGCAGGTGGTCGTCACAGCTGCTCTCATCCAGCTGCAGCAGCCGCTTGTTCTTCAGCTTCTCCGACAGGTCATCGGGGTCGGGCATCTGTGGCTTCTCTTGGGTCTGAGACACCGGCACGATCTTCTCGCCTTTCAGACGATCGACGTCGTGATCTTGTGAAGACGACGACAACAGAGCTGCCCTGCCGAGGCTGACCGGTCGGCGGCAGGTCGGACACTTGAAGTTGGTCCTCCCCCTGCCGCGGGAGCATTCCCCCAGACACGTGTCGCACAGGACGTGGTTACAGGTCATGGTGAAGGGGTGCTCGGAGACTTGCTGACAGACGGTACAGGCTTTAGGCGCGCGGGCCCAGCCGTCCCACATGATACTCCGGGTGCCAGCCATCTTGTGTCCCACCAAAGCGCCGGAGGCTTTCAGACTTAAGCACTCTCACTTATGGCGACAACTTTCTCCCGGAGTCCTTTAAGACAGGGCTGCCGACCTCAACTACGCGTCAAGACGCTTCCTGCTGTCGCAATGAAGCAAAACGCACGCTAACTCTGGCGGCAGGACCCTGACCTTACTAACTTCTGGTCAACAGAAATGTTGTGATGATACGAGAGTAACTGAAGGACTAACGTGGACGGTCTAACCTGTTCATCAACTACACCACGTGACAGGAGGGAGGGACCTGGCAGGATAGGGCAGGGGTTAAACGGTTAAGAGGAGGTTATGACGCTTGTTGTCAATCATTCACTTCACTTCACTTTATTTATTTAACCCGTAATTACAGCTCAGGCCATTTTGGGCTTTTTTTTTTCAGGTAAGGCCACACCGATTTAATTGTATGGATGACATCCTCTGAAGACCCCCAAACCAGTGCGCGCGGGCGAATGAAAAAAATTCCGGCCAAAAATAAAAATGCTACTAAACCACAGGAATGCAAAGCTGTATACGACAAGCCGGCACATGCTGGCTTTTTGTGGAATTTATGAATCAGCACTGTACGTATGTACTGAGTTATTAAGTCGTGGAGCTTTGGTAGCCTGGGTGCCCAGCTCCATATAGTCGCTAACTACCATGGACTACCCAAGCCTAGAGCCAGGCCAGAGCCTGGGAGGACGTGATCTTTTTTTTTTTGGAGAACAGACGAAAATAAATGCGCGCGCGGATGTCACCCTTAAAGGCGGTGTGGCCTAATCCTGGGTACACAAAAAAAATACAACAAATACACAGTGCATAAACAAGTAAAAAATACAATATCCTCAACTAGATTACTAGATCAAGTCCTGTTCCTAAGGCCACACCAAGTAAATTTTATGGATGACGTCCTTTGGAGACCCTAAATCTAATGCGAGAGGGCGAAAAAAAACAAGAAGGGCCCTAAAACAAGATGCTTAGATTAGAAATATACTAAGAGACGACAAATGTTAGGACACAAATTAAATGAGGTGGCACAGTGTAACAAGCAAGAACTTCTTTTATTCATCATCAAAACAGCAATAAATCAGGTGGAACAGTGGACAGTGAAATATTTTCTGTTGTTGACAGGATGGTCCTGTCAATAGTGCAAATTTTCTGTTATTGACAGGATGGTCCTGTCAATAGACACTTTCTTCGCGTTACGGAATTTCAAATCAATCTGGTGATTTGCGGCACTGTCGTGGCTCTTTTGTCATAGTTACAGGAAGCGGAATTTTTTTGTGTTTTTTTTCTAGGAACAGACCAAAATCAATGCGCGCGCGGACGTCATCCATAAAATTTACTTGGTGTGGCCTAATAGTCAGTTTAAAGGTCCTGAGACTAAGGAGCTGTCGTTGCTGTAGCGGAAGTGTGTTCCACAGGTAAGGACCATAGCACTGTAGACTGCTCCGGTATGCCGTGACTCTTACTGGTGGACAGAAGAGTAGGTGAGGGTCGTAGTCCCTAAGACGCTTCAACTCTGACCGAGTAGTCCGTACGCTTAATGTTGGAGGAGTCTCCCACTTGAACAAAGATGCCATGTACAGCGGCGCACTTCCACGAATTGCCTTAAAGACATTAACAAGAGTCGTGGTTTCAGTCCGTTTAGGCACAGAGTCTATCCCTGCCTCAGCTCGCAAGTTAATAATGATCTATCTGCTCCCACATTTTCCACTGTACAAAAAAGCGAGAAGAAGTTGACCTCTCTATATTAGCTCAGTGACTAGAACACTTTGTATTAGCCTAGTATAGTACCCTTGTATGTTCCTTATGTATGTATGTCTAAGTCAAGTAGTGCATCTCTTGTCTCCACTTTTCTATATACATTTGTTATGTGTCTGTTATATCTTGACCTGTACCTAGCCAGTCGTGGCATGAATGTACAATAAAGGTATTTCATTTCATTTCAATAATTCCACTGAGACATGGTCCTGGAGTTTGTGACCTGTAATGAGCCTTGCAGCTCGGTTCACCAGTCTGTCCAACTGGGATATAAGAGTTTTGTTGCCTTGTACAAGACTTGGTAGCCATGCTGTGGCACAATACTCCAGAAGAGACAGTAATAATGCCTGGTACATTGTTCATAATGAACGTTCCACTGGGGAAATTATGAACAGTTTAAGTAGAGTCTTAAGATCTCATACCTCCGTCACTACATCACATGATAATATTTGCTTCTCGTCCTGGCCACCGACACCGGGCATCTTCACGGACTCTGTCGTATTTCAAAATTCCGTTTGTTTACGTTGCAGTGAAGGTAGAAACCTAACGTTAGGCCAAGTTGATTTGATTATATAGCTGACATGTGTTCAACCTTCATGACCTCGTAGATTTGTATATAATGACCATGTCCGTTTCAATACCTGGTAGCCCTTGGGCCACACTGTTGTACAGCAGGGGGTTAGTCCACCGGTAGTGGTGTGTTTAACTCTCTTACTCACTCTCAAATGCTGAGTGCTAAGAAGAAAAAGCAGTCTGTGCCATTTTTAGGTCTTGTATGACTCGGTCGGGGATCAAACTTATGACTTACTGAATGAAAGGCGAACACTCTACCCACTTGGCCATTGCAGCGGTAAACGGTACTTGGCCACTTACCCACCGGTAAACAGTACGTGGTACATGATTATGGCTATTATTCCGCATATCTACAAGTATGATCAGCATAACTCAAGGAGGCCTTTATGGATTGTGATGATATTTGGTATGTGGCCAGGTCTTAACAAGGTCGAAAATAACCTCCTTGGTCTTTATAGGAAGACAACGGTCAAATGTGTGCCTCCTGTTGGCTGTTGTTGGTACTGCAGCAGAACTTCCTGTATTTGTATCTTTTGTCCTGGACCTTGAATGTCCATAGATCATACACTACTGTGTGTTATAATTTGGTTGTATACTTTGATCATGAGTTCTATAGGAAAAGCCCATTTTGACAGTTTTAGCTTTCATCAAATCACATAAACGACATATGATTTCATAATGACACCAAAGTTGTTGTAATATGATTCTACCAAAGTATGCCATTCGCAAAAAATTTGGTGGTCATATGATAAGTATACTAGTATTTGAGTTACTGAGGGTGGCCTAATTATACCCTACACGTAGGCTGTAGGCCCATGGGTGGGAATGGTGCCAACCTTTAGGCCACACCAATTTAATTTCTTGGTTAACAGATTCGCCCGCTTCATTTTTTTCTGATTTTCAAATAAAAATAAAAATTCAGAATCAACTGCAAAATGCTCATATTTTTCCCTGAACAGTTGAAAACAGTCCTTTTCATCCTAGTTGTTACTTATTCCATCTTTCAATGCAATGGTATCATTACAAGTTAAAAATTCATTGTTTAAATTTTGAACCAGCCTGGTGTGTTGACTTCATGGCTCCTATCGTACGCTTTTGGGCCATAATTTGTTTTTATTTTTATTTTCGCCCGACCGCTCCATTATTTTTCTATAAAAATTCGTTAACCATGAAATTAAATTGGTGTGGCCTTAAAACAAAAGTACATGTACATGTGTATGGGTTCTTATGATTCCTAAAGTAAAGATCCAGCTCATTTTTTTTTTCTGAAAGCAAGACGAGACTTTGGTTTATAATGTTACGAGTGATGAACAACTAATAGTATCCAAACATTATTTTCAAAATCAACCCAAGACTCAGGTATGTAAGCGTGCCACACAGCACGTTTCGACGGCGTCAAAAGTGCACAGGAAACACACAATGACGGCAGGGTGCATGTATATGGGGCACCCAGAACACCCAAGACTGTTTGACATCAACCACTTAGAAGTTTGTCCAATGGTTGTTTGCAAAACAACATGCCTGTGATTGATCTGGAGGGTACTTGAAGGGGTTATCAGAATACTGTTACTGGAATGCAACTGCTGCTACATGTAAGTCCAAACTCAATGTAGTTGAATACAAAAACTTATGGGAATCAGAAATATAATATCTACAGAACCTGAACACAAATGCCCCTGAAGTTTCTCAACACATCCACATTGAATCACCGCGCCATACCGTCTCTGTGGACAGTTAGAATACTGGACACTGTACAGGACTACTTTTTAAGAGGCATTAAGGAGGCCATATATATCAGAGCGCTTCAGCCTTCACTTAATAGAGATGGTGGACGATATAAACTCCCTCGCACTTTTGATCAATTGCTCAAGTATCAGTAAAGTCTCGTGTGAATAAGGTCACGTGTTTGTAAACTGTAATTCTCGCGAGATCACGTTGTGAAGTGATTGGTCATTAACTATTCTGATGAAGTCGCTGAAAATTTGATCTGTCTGTAAATTGAGATGGAAAATATTAAAATATAATATATAAAGTTCAACGTTTTACTATCTACAGAACCTGTTGACCCTTTAAGAACATGAAAACCCTCTGTGAAATGTAGCTCATTGAACACAATGTGCTGAACATTTTATTAACAGAACAAAATCATTACTTTGACTCATAGAACCTGCAGCCACCATTACATAAAAATGTGCCCAAACATGTGCCATGAATTACAAGCCTACATTGGACCATGTGTTTGACATGTACATGTACTTGCTAAGTAATATTCTGTACATGAATATTAAAGCTTGTATTACAGCTGAGTTTTCACCAGAGTGCCAAGTTTGTTATTATGTTTACCGAAGGAAAACATATTGTTTTTGCTCCATTTCTTCTTCTGTTCCAAACACTAACCTCTGACCTGGCCAATGGCCTCTTTTGTTGACGTCTGTCACCATAGTAACTGGTGTTGGGTTACATAATGTGGCAATTTCATAGTAGGCATTTAGACTCCTGTCACAATATACATGTACATGTATGTGAATGTGTTTTGTAATGAGTAAGAATTAACAGAGCAGACCATATCCGAAGGTAAACATTATGCATTTGCTTCGCAAATATTACTTTTCTAGTATTGAATTGTTCCCTTAAAGGCATCCAATGCAACTTCAGTGCGTCAAGACAAAAATTATTCTGGATTATGAAATCTGATGCTGACATTTCCTGTCTTTTCTTAGCACAATTTTGTCATTTCCTACGTGAATCGTGTGAGATAGAGAAGGGACAAGCTATGTGAGGAGTCCCTTTATTTTTTGGTACCACCAATAAATAGCTAGAACCAGCCTACAATACAAAACAAGACATTCTTTTCCATCACTGATAACTTAAGTGACATGACATTTTTGCCTCACAGATATCAGTATGCTATGGGGGAGAATTTATTCAACTAATGGCCAGAAAATTGACTTTGAAAATGAATTTTACTTCTTGGAAATCACTCTGGGTACCTTTGACATATGATGTTTGCATCTCTAGATGTACATAAGACTTCATCATTTGTCAGTCTCATTAGCTAAGAGAAGGTTCACCATGTTGTCTGTAGTACAATTCTGGACTCATACATACCATACTACATGTACATGTAGTAATCGTGAATGTCTTCTATTAATAAACCAACATAAGTATACCTGAAGCTTACAGTTTACATTCAGTGTTGACAGCATAACAGTGCTCACTTTTCCTTTGAAATTACCCTGGACCTATAACATAATACGTCACAGTTTGTTTACCTGTTCTAAAGAACATTCTAGAACGGTCAGTTAAAGAACAAAGATCATTTCAAAGTTTTCAAAGTCAGGTATGTTTGATTTTTGCTGAATCTAGTTTTGTTGACACAGCATTACATACCGTAATGGGTGATTTAGTTGTGACAGCAGATGAAAGTAGTACTGTATAAAGGCCTTATATTAAGGCAAACACACACCACGACTACGCACCCCTGTACAATATAAACGTCGATTGACCAGCATTCATTGCGGTAAACAAACTGACGTAATAATGTTATAGGACCCTCCAATAAAGTTACTTCTGAATGTGTTGTACACTTCTTGAATATCTTAAGGTGTCCACAGTCCCTAGACAGAGGAGAGCTTACAGTTTGTATTAGCAGGTAAAATATTTCACAGAACCTGTTCTAAACAGACGTTCTTACATGTAGCAGTGTTCTAGTTGATGGAATTTTGCTGCTTATGATGGACACCAATTTTATTCAATCTGTCATCTTTGACAAATCAGTAAAGATAAAGAAAGAGACTAAATTAAACTAACTAAGGTCAAACGGGCGGATTACACTTGGCGCGCAAGGACACCCGTAAGTAAGGTTCGGAGCCAAAGGAAATTTTCACCCCAAAATCACCATTTCTGACACTCTTCAGCCATGTTAATGTTTAATGATACTTCGTGGCAGTTTACGAGAAATGTCACCTCAAACTTGGACCCTCAAAACCCTTTCGTCACTTTTTTACAACGGACTATCACGGACCCCGGTCGCGCAAGAACTGGGGTGTGCACCGATAACTGTAACAACTATGAAGAAAAGGACTGTTTTCAACTGTTCAGGGCAAAATATGAGCATTTTGCAGTAACTATTGATTCTGAATTTTTTTTTTTTTGCAAATCAGAAAAAAATGAAGCGGGCAAATCCCTTAACCAAGAAATTAAATTGGTGTGGCCTTAAACAACAACAAAAGTTCCGGCTGGCTAGATCACTGTTCCTTAGGTCCTGGGCAGGTTACAGATCTCACAGGAGGCATTGTGTGCTTGGTTGATGAAGGTGCAGTGCTGACATGTCCACACACCAGCAGCAGCGCCCCCTGTGGGGAAGGCTGGTCCTGCAGCTGAAGGCCCAGTACCCACAGGTGGACTTGGTGCTGAAGGAGAAGATTGAGGACAGTTTCTGTATTATGACAAGCCCTGTACACTGATTTAAAGCTGCATTATGTAACACTAGGACGATACAAAAAGTCAATTTTCTGGCCATTTCTCTACAAACTAAGTTGAATCAACCCAACTCTGTTGCAAATAAGTGCAATTCAGGAAGTAGAGGTGCCAAAATATGACTTGCAAGTACGCTAAAAAGAATCTGAAAACATAGCTGTCAGCCATGTTTGTTTACATTCTAGTAGTTTTTGGTGCCACCATAAACTGAGCGTGCCTCGCGTGAGCACTTTTAGCACCAACCATAAATGTCAGAAATGTGAGATAATTGTACAAAAGTGGGTGTAAATTACACACTTAAATTTCTAAAAAATATAATATTTCAACATTTGTTGCAAAAATGTTACATTGTGCCCCTTTAACATGCAGCTATATACTGGTGCATTCACCGGCATAGTTTGAGTTCATATTTTGTGGCTGTTCATGACTTTATGCGCATGGACCATAAATTCTACAGTACACCATGCGTACCCTCAATTATAGTACCTATTACTACATGTACTGTAGTACCTCTACAAATAAATGTTTTTGATCTGTGTGTGCACATATGTGTGTCTCTGTTTGTGTGTTGTGTTTTTCTGCATATTTGTGACCAGCATACATTGTAAATAAGAAGGCCTGAATGGATTGTGATGATATTTGTAAGTCATAGGAAGACAAAAGTCAAGGTCAACTTTTGGCCTCCTAGTGGCTGGCCTTAGAACTTTAGTCTGACAAGAATTAATAGGATAATTTTGCATGTCTTCTCATCTTTTGCTAGAATTTATGATGTGGTTACATGAATCAATGGATTAGTTTTGTGACAAACAAAACTGTTGTACACATATCTCTGTTTCTGTTTAACTAACTTTTGATTAGCAGCAATTCACTTCCATGTATCATGACTCCTATAAAGACCAAATAAGTCTGTAAAATACATACAAGTATCGGAAGTACACATACAATATAGTCACTTGAAGTTTGTTCCAATCATAATGACTGAGGAATTGAGTTTGTACAGCCTTCTTAAAGTGGCTTTTTGGAAACTCACTACATGTAGCAAGCTTCCCAATCGCCCACTTCGGGCATCTCTATTTGCATCTCTACATTTTATTTTTGCATTTCTGTGCTTTTTCCAGCGCGGACATCACTGGGTGACATCAGCTCAGGAAAAAATACAGATATCCAAAAGTAAAATGTAGAGATGCAAATCGCCTGCCAGGACTGGCTTGTGCTGACTTTTCCAATGCAGGGCATTGGAAAAGGCATAAATAAACTAGAAAGGCCAATATTTGCTTTGGAGCAAATATAGCGATGGGTTCACCACATTTTACGACATGGCAGGGAAAGAATGAGAAACACAAGGGAAAACAATGATTTACATTGATATAACTATAATATGAAGTAAAATACAACTAAAACAACAGTTGGATAGCTATTCCCTACTTAATTGGTTAGGATTTTTAATTGCATAATGCAAACTGTTGATTTTCAAAATAAAAAAAAACGTCCATGCCCCGCATTCCAATGCTGGAGCAGGAAAGCTTGAAATACCTACCAAAACACTTGAATACAGACATACTGTCAGTATGGAAATGCTCTGTGCAGGTGTTAATCAAGTTAAATCCCAACAGCCAATCAGCAAGAAATGCTCTGTGCAGGTGGAAATGCTCTGTGCAGGTGTTAATCAAGTTAAATCCCAACAGCCAATCAGCAAGAAGAATAGAGGAAAGCTGCATGCCTATTGGT